ACGCAAGAAGCTGAATATATAGCTTGCAGTATGACAACTACACATGTTGTCTGGATAAGACGGTTTTTGATTGATCTTGATCTCAATTTGTTAGAAAGACCTATTGATATTTATTGTGATATTCAAGCAGCAATTAGTTTAATCAATAGTGGCGCGAATAGCTCCAAAAAGAAACATATTGAGATCCAATATCACTATATTCGAGATATTATAGAAAAGAGAGAAGTCAAAGTGACTTATATCCCTACTACAGATATGATTGCTGATCCTTTGACAAAAGGAATACCAGCGGAATCTTTTATCAAACATGTAAGTTTGATGAGACTTAGGAATAAATAAGTCCAAGTAAAATTTCATGAATAATAAAATAAGAGTTACTCTCTACGGATAGTGGGAGTAATGGTAAGCAGAAACCTCCGATCTCACGGATAGTGGAAGGCATGTCACTTGATTAATTTGGTTAAGTGGGAGATATTAGCTTGACTTGGTCATTGATGACCAAATCAACCACTGTTTCTCTGTTGAGAGAATAGTGGAGAACGTGAATCATGGATGGTTGAGAGAAAATCTCTCATGGGGGCGGATCTGAGGGGGTAGAGATGATGGGTTATGCCCATATATAAGGAGGATCATTCTTCTTGAGAAAATAAAACGAAAATCAAAAAGAAAAACCACTTACCCATTACCGGAGCCCCTCAGAAATATCAGTTCTTCTTCCTCTTTGCTTCTCAGAGTTTAATCACATGGGTTGGGGAGTGGTTAAAAATTATAATGAGTGGATGAGAATATGATGCCTCACTTCCAAACACAAAATTTGTGCTTGGTACCAAACATACCCATATTTCTCTCTCTCTCTCTCTCTATATATATATATATATATATACGGATACTTATATAGATATATTAGTATAAAGAAGAGAGAGAGAGAGAAGAGAGAGAGATTAATGGGTATGCATATGTCATAAAGAGATGAATTTTCTCATATGCAATGATGTGACATAATCTCCAGCTAAGTATAGTTATGAGGTTTTTCTATCCTACTTTATTCACTTGGTGAGATGGTGCCACATCATGTATATGAGAGAATCCCCCCACCTTTATGACTATGATACCATTAATCTCATATATATATATATATATATATATATATAGTATATATAATATTATATATATATATATATATATAACTTGGTATCAAACACAAATTTTTGTATGACACATTCTTATCTATTCATTCAAATGGGAGACCACATTCACAATGAATTGGAGAGTGGATGGGAATGAGCCACCTCACCGCCAAGCACAAAACTTGTGCTTGGGACCAAGTTCCTGCATCTTTCTCTATATATATAGACACACATAGTGGCGGATCCAGGGACCATGGAGTAGTGGGGCAATAAATTATAAAAAAATAAAATTTTAATTGACGAAATTAAATTTATTAATGCATTCCAACATCAAAAGAAAAGACATTTTCTGATTGTCCTCCACAACTTTTGATCTCATGCCATTGTTAATGGGATCTTATGCAAAATATTTTGAGCATATAAAGTCTAAGATATTTACTTTATTTTCAGCAAGATGGCCCTAATCCTCGTTTGGTTGCATCATCCTTTTCCTTTTTTGACTTTTCTCTTAAAACCAGTGACCCATGATGACAGGAAAATGAGAGGGATTTGATTAGAGATAATTCGGATAAGAATAGGTTTGATTAATGCATATTGGGGTTTAACCAATGTTTTAAATATCGGCCGATAAAAACCGATATTACTGGCGATTTATCGGTTTTGGGGGCATAATTTTGATTCTAAATCGATTATATCATTTTTGAATGTTTATCGTCTATAATATGACGATAAGATGAGTTATCGGCTGATATTGTCGGCCCAAAAATCAGAATTATCAGTCTTTGGTTTGAGTTTTGATTTTGGATAATGAGCACTTATTAAATGCACTTTAAACCTGACCTAACCCGAGTTTCTACCATTGGTTAGTGAACCAAAACATAATTATTTATATTTTGGTATATTTATATTTATTAAGTATGATTAAATTATATTTTAGAATATTATATTATGTATATCACCATCCGGTAATGTTCCTCCGATAAATACTACTTATCCCCGATATATCCCCAATATCTGCTGTCCGATATGAATTTTAACCGTCCGATAAATCCCTGATATTCGATATTTAAAACCTTGGGTTTAACTAAAATGGGACTTATGAAAGTCTTTTACAAGTAATTAAAAATCAATTGTATTGAACAATATGAATTCCTATTTAAATACATGTCATGATAATAAATTTTTTTTATTAAACTTACAAATGGACTATAATGAAATTAAATTGTATAATAGTCATGTGGTAAAATATCAAGTGGGGGGAATTTTTGAGCTAGGTCTCAATGATAAATGTAATGCATATAAGGGCAATATTGCAAGTTGTAATTTGAGTGGGGGCAGTTGCCCACTGTGAGGTACATTTGGCTCCACTACAGTGTGTGTATATATATACACATATATTCTATATATACATATATATTTCTCTTTCTATATATATCTATATATTTCTCTCTCTCTCTCTCTCTCTCTATATATATATATATATATATATATATATATATGAGATTAATGTGTATTCTTGACAAGGAGGGGGATTCCCTCATTGACAATGATGTGGCACAATCCCCACCATGTAAAATTCTCTCTCCTTCACATGGTGGGGATTGTGTCACATCATTGTTAAGGAGGAAAATCTCTCTACATATATAAGGCTTTACCGAGTGAGTAGTTGTTTGTTTCCCGTGTTTGCTGTTATGAGGAAAGGGATCGGATACTAAGTTTATACATGTTAGTAGTTGGACTTGGACTGTAGGATTATATCCTACCCGTGATCAAATTAACAAAATTACCATCAACAAATACTAGAAAGAAGAAAACTTAAAGAAGGATGTTGTGAGCGTGAGACACCCTTGGGTGTCTCGGCACGAGACACCTCAAGGTGTCTCAGGCCGCGCTGAGACAGCGGGTATTTGGGCCCAGATTCGGTTTTTTGGCCCTGTTTTCTTGGTATAAATAGGAACATCGTCCTAGGGTTTCAAACAGAGGGTTTGCCGGCTGCAGCAGAGAGTTTTAACAGAATTTTGCAGATCTAAAAAGGTGAGATCTTGAGGAGAGAAAAGAGAGAGAACTTGGAGCGATTGTACAAAAAAGAGGTCATCTTCTCTTGGGTAAAATCAAAGTCTCACATTAGGCCACAACTTCACCGTTGAGATCACGTTCTATTTTGGTAGGTGGCACGTGTGAGTCCCCGGCGACAAGTATCAATTGGATATAAAGAACCTCATGAACTTGAATTCCACCGAGAAAGTTCCAGCTAGACTTTGGAGAATTTTGCATGAACTATGGTGAAAAAATAGAGAGTGATTTTTTAGTAGGTTTTGGTGTTTCTAAAAAAAACAAATTTTGTCATATTATTTAGAACAGCTTAAATGGATTGGTGGAGATTTAGAAAATGAAGATTTAGGGGTCTAAAATCAAATTAATAAATATTTGGGGTTGAATTTGACAAAATTTGTTTTTTTAGGTTGAGGTATGTTTGTGAAACTCCCATAATTCTGTGGTGTTTACCCATAATTTTCAAAGTTTAGGGGTTTTGTGCAACTCACCCCAAAGTTCATGGTTTTGTAAAATTTTACCTTCATTCCATTCAAATTTAAAATGCCATCCCGTTACATGATAATTTTCCCCCTAAATTTGTCCCGTTTGAAAATACTGAAGGCTAGCTTTTGAGAATTAGTGATTTTTGAAGCTGGACTGCCCTAATAAATATGATACAGGTACTTTTTTTGGAACTTGGTTTTTAAAATTTCAACCTTTTCTTATTAAAGACGTCAAAGTGAGCATTTTTTGAATTTTGAAGTAAAGTCAAAGAGTTTCAAGTTTCATGTAGTTTTTCACAGGTTTCTAACTAGTGTTCACAAGCTAAATGCAACTACGGATGGTTTGTCACATGATAATAAAGGAGACATGTATACTTTTATATCTGTTAAGTATTCTTGAATGCTTATTGGATAATTTCTTTTCTTAATGCGTCTCAAAATTTATAATGTGTTGTTCATGTATTAAAGATGGATCAGTTACTAAGAAGGATATATATTACATGAATGATAAGGTTCATAATTCGAGCTTACGCCTGCATACATTTTTATGGTTTCCCACTTTCCCTGCTTGCACATGGTTTTGTTCTTGCATTACTCTTGCACGTGTTTATATGAAAAATGCAATATACGTAATGCATTCATATCCTAGATTTCTAGGATTTCACATCTGTTTACTGGTGTTATTTTATGGTTATGGTTAGGGTTAGGTAATAATATTAAGGAATATAGAAAGTTTTCCTTCTAACATTAGGACTGTAGCCTTTGTCTCAACAAATTAACCTGGTGCAGTAGTTTTCATATGCCACTTCATTGTTGTACTGTCTCCACGTCCCTCTTGTTTCTCTTCAAATAGAGCTTATTCTTCGTCTTATCCACTAGATGAAGAATCAACATGTCCTTATAGTGGTAGACAACCTCGCTACTGCCATAATTTAGGAATATCCTTTGAAATATTCTGTGTAAGAATTCACTAAGAGAGATGGATGGGGGACTTGGAGTGATAGTATGGTAGATGCATGTAATCTGATTGTCAAACATGCTTCTGTCAAAATTT